AATTAAAATGCAAATTATGTTTATTATTATGACAAGGAAAAAATAGAATTATGTAGTCAAAGTAATTCATTTTTATGGTCTGTGTCACCTATATGCATAATCCTAATGCATCTAAGAATAATAGTATTTGAAGCACRAGGACTCAATCAGAAAAATAATCTGAATTTCTCTATGCAGTTTTATATTTCACAGTTAAGTGTGATGCTCAATTCTGATACAAAAATGTGTTTACAAACATTTCCATTTAGTTACCAGTTTTCCTTTTTATCAAAGTAGAGAAATAAGATTATGAATCAAAGAGACTATCAGCTATTTTTTCTTGTTTAATATAGCTATTTAGTAAATTATATGTTTATCCTAAATACCAACAAGTCTTGAGCTTCTCTTAGTAAGTGATAAATATCTTTTTGCCTACACATTTATAYAATTACCATCTTCACAGTAAAATGCTGGTATTTTCTACCCTCAAAAATTATCATCTATCTACTGATGAAATAARCTTCCATCTGTATAGTTTGATACAAGAAGGAGTATTTTAATGCAGTTTATGTCCTCTTGATTTGTGCAGAGTGCCTTAATGCCTCCTGTTGTAAATGTGAACAAAAATAAGCTGCATATACAGCTTTGTCGAAACTTGCTGAGGAACATGAAAACACCATCTTCTCATCAAGACAAAAAGATCTGTAAACAACCAGCTACTGGGTACAAAATCCTTCTGATTAGAAACTTTGATTATCTTCCCTTCCTCCTCCTCATCAGAAAGAACATGGTTTAGTGGTGAATTTGGTGGTTGGAATCAAAAGTCTTAGAAATCTTCTGCAACCCAAGTGATTCTATGATTTTAACTGCCTTCTAAGAATCACTAACCCTTCTAGAAAGGTGAATAAAGAAAAAAAAAAACCCAACAAATACAGAAATATGTGAAAACTGGATTAAGGCTGTATGTTTATGCAGTAAGGAAGTTCTGGGCCAGTTTAATACAGCACCAGAGGGGATGCCTGGAGTAAAATATACAAAAAATGCTAAAAACTTAGTGTAAAAGCAGTGTCAAAGGCTTTAGCAAAGTCCAGGTAAATGACATCCAAAGCCTTTCCCTTGAAAACTGWCAAGGTTTAAAAAAACCATGGAAGGTACAAGATATCCAGCAATGTAAAAAGTAAAAAATGAATAGAACCAATTGCCTTGTATGTGTTTTCCATGTCAGGGCAATTTTGAATTTGAACCAATTTAAACCTTCAGTGCACTGAAGGATCAGATCATGTATGAAAGCAAGCAGAGGTTTCCAGTCATTCTGAAACCTGCACAGCTGGGACTTCAGCAACAAGAGAAAGAATCCTATTCCTTGTGCTTTGATATGGAAATATATTTGGGTTYCCTACTCAAATCTTTTGGGAAACGAAATAAATATCAGAAAAACAATAATTTAATACAATGGCATCTGAGGGTCTTTTTTACTACTATCAAATGAATTTTTCTACCTCATATTTAAGGTAACTCCTTGTTGCCTCCATTTTGAGAGATAGCCAGATGTTGACATACATGGAGAATTCTTTAGAAAGAAATAATCCTATAGGTAACTAATTAAGTATACTTATATGTAGTCAAAACTCCATTATAATGAATATGCACAATAATTATATTCCTTATGCACTACAGTTAAAAGTTACATAAAAATAATATATGGCAAGAAAAGCACCAATATATAATTCTCGGMTACAATTCATAAGCACATAAAATAAGCTTCTCAAAACTGAAAAAAAACCCCTCTGTTTTCCTTAGAACTGGAAAAAAATCTATTTTCCCCAGAGCATACAATGCAGAGCTGATCTTTCTGCCACCTTTTTTGTGCAAACTTAGTGTAACCCTGAAAGCAAAATCCACAAGCCCCCTCACACCTCAAAATCACTTAAAAACTATAATAAAACAGCATTCAAATTTCATGAGGAATTTTATACTATTCAACCACACTTTTGGGGCACAATTCCTTACTGCACCCAGAGAATTACAAAGCACATATTTCCTCCTTTGCATTGGCTTTGCACGAGTTTCTCATACTTAAAAATTTTCCATGATATTGGTTCATTGCCAGATTTCAGCCACCACCCTAGCTTCTTCCTTTCAGTGGGCGTGAAAGGGTTTACTTGTAAAATATATTGCTACTGACTGGATTTTATCTCCTTCTCCCGGATTCTCGGCAGCAATTCCCAAGTTAGCGGCTTCCCCAGAAAGCACGTCAAAGGATTCCCACCCACACACTGAATATCTAACAGACCCTGACCCATTTTCTCCTTATTAAAGCAGCACTGCATGTTTTAAAAAATAAAAATAATAAACAGAGACACCAAATGAGTGTGAGAGATGCAGTTGGAACTGTACCCTCTTCTGATTTAAGTTCTGACAAAATCGCTATCAAAAAAAGAGACATTTAAAATGCAAACATCAAATCTATTTTTCCTCAGTTTTCTTACTCTGTGACTTATTACTCCAGCTATCTTTCAGTTAAACACAAGGAGCTTTTCATTTATAAGTTCTGAATATAGAAAAATCCTTTATTTAGCCATACTTGCCACAATATCCTCGTGCACATTTCACAGAATCATGGAATTGTTAGGGTTGGAGGGACCTCTGGAGATCGTCCAAGGCAGGGTCACCTGGAGCAGGTGACACAAGAACTTGTCCAGGTTAGTTTTGAATGTCTCCAGAGGGAGATTTCACAACCTCCCTGGGCAGCCCTGCCACCCTTAACGTGAAGAAGAAGTGAACATTTGTGAAGAGGTTCTTCCTCATGTTGAGGTGGAACCTCGTGTGTTTCAGTTTATGGCCATTGCTCCCTGTCTGGTCACTGGGCACCACAGAAAAGTCTGTCCCCAGCTCCTCCACACTGCATTTCTGTGCATTGGGAGATCCGCCCTCCATTTATAAAAGCTCCATATCTCATAAGCAAATCCCTAATACTCAACTGATTTGTAAACAAACACCAGCTTTACCTGTTATTTATAGACTACATACCTTTATCTCCTTTCTCCTTTGAATTTGACCATGGTTTATGCAACTGACTTCCAGGGAAAGCAGATTAATGATTTGCACATGAAGAACATTCTTTTGTCAGAATATTCAACGCTATTACGAGGAAAAATATATTTACCTTCTGAAAAAGGACACACTTGCTCTTTCTGATAGGAAAGGCAGAAAATGGGAGAAAACACCAGAGAAAATAAGAATACTGCCAGGTGACATGCAGTCATCTTTCAATGAGCAAGATTTTCACCAACATTACTTAGGAAACCACCTCATTCTAAGGATAACTTACATCTGTAAAGGTAGAMACCACCACCAAAAATAAGAACTAGGAGACGTCCTCTGTCCATTAAACCATAGAAAGTAACATTAACTGTTATACTGTATTCATGAAAGTCACAAACCTAAACAAGCAGAAAATTAACAATGTCAATTATTGGCAGAAGAGTATCCAACACYGGTAAAATCTCCTCATCTATCTGGAAAATAACTTCTTTCACACCCAGGTTTGCATTGGATACTTTACAGATAGACTTTGCGTTGAGTCAGAGGACTGATAATTGTTGTCTTACGTTGTGTAAATGTTTCTAAAGGACTAAAAGGTTCTTTTCTACAACACAAAGAGCAGAAGGCTTTACAACTCCCATGATATTTGGCAAAACRTGTTTGCAGGCATAGTTTAAAAGAAAATGGACTTTCCTTGACAATATTCTCCTCAGCATTCTCCAGAGAAATAACAGCAGAGAGAGGAATTCCACAAATTTGTAAGTATGCATTGTGTGTCACTTCAGCCCACAAAGAACTGAAAATTTAGAGAAATATATGTAAGTGGYCTTAGAGAGTAGGATGAGTAGAAACTGAGCTGTGCTGTCTTGTCACATGCTTGCATCTCTCCCACTGGGCCTCTGTCAAACACACTTGAATAAAGGAATGCAGAGTTTGGCCTTCTGTTTCAGAAAAGATGAAGGAACACCTTCTGCATGGCTTAAATATTACTGCTAACTTAGAGCTTCTTTTTATGTGGGAAAACATGACTGAACAACCAGGCGTTTCTTTATCCGGCTCTTCCAGATTTCTTCTTGCTGGAAATATTTGCTTTTCTTCATGTTAAAGCTCTTTTGAAATAAATAAACTTTCAACCTGACAGTGAGCATTCTCTCCTTACTACCTTACCTAAATTTCTTATGTCTTGATTACTTCATATTATTCAATTTTCTATCTAYGTATTTTTACTTCTTGGTCAGCTTTGAAAATTCAGCTTTCTGAAAACCTCTTACTAAACTCTAYATATTGCACACTTTTGCATGAATGCACTGCTGCTCTGGACTCTTTCTAGWAATAAATAAAGAAACAAGAACTCTRCATAACTACAAAGAGTGTAAAAATTTGCATTTAGCAATTATTCATTTAGCAAATTCAGCACTCTTATTTAAAAAAAAAAAATGAAACATAACCTGTACACAGAAATCATAGCTTATTGTAGTGTTCAGTAGTTTTTTAAGCCAGTGGCAAAATACTTAGCAAACCTAATACTGAATTACAATTACTTGGGGTTTTTAAATGAAAATATTAATATTCCATATTTAAATGACCTAATTATTTTTAAATTTGTTATTCCATCATTTTGGTGAAATATTTACCACAAAGGTATGTTTTTGTATTACTTTGCAATCRGAATCATCTCAAGGCAAGCAGAACACATGAATCATTTTTAAATCCATTTTTAAATCAAAAAAATTAGCAACTTGATGCATGCTTAAAATCAAGAGCACAAAATACACATTTAACTCCCAAAACCTAAGAGGAAGGTGCACTCAAATACTCATAAACAAATTGGATCTCTTATTTTACAGGGTACATACCGCACAGAATGCTATTCTACAATAAGCTATAAAAAACCGTAAAAAATGCATTAAACTACGTAAAAATCACCAAAGAATCGACCTTATCAGCCACATATGAGAGAGGAGAAGACAACTCACGGGTAGGATTCTGCCAGYTGCTGAGCTATTTTATAAGCTGTGGGATCCCTGTCCAGTGCATAGACGGTGATGCCGCTGGCTTTCTCCAAAAGAGCCGTCGTGTGACCTCCGGCTCCAAACGTCATATCCAGGAAGACCTGCAAAGGGAAAATGACAAAACCTTTACCATGCAGCAGAGATAAACTGATGGCTGATTTAAAACTTATTTTACTAATCGCCCTCAAATACTAGAGGAAAATATATCGCTGCCTTTTTTGGAAATATTTCTGTTTTGGAAATATTTCTATTTTGTGCAGAATTGTGGTCATGTCAGGATAATCTTTTACCAAAAAAAAAACAAAAACAAACATCAACAAACAATACCAAAACAAACAAAAAAAAGCCTTCTATTCATACTCAGGAAGGGTGATTGGGTCATCAAATTTCATACTGAGAAAAAGTGACTTGAAAAGGCTGCCAACTCCCAGGCACATCATGGAGGAGAAGGTCTGGAGCGACCAGCTGGCCTGCAAAGATGGGAAAGTGAGGAACTGCTGAGCAGGGCCCAACTAGTCCAAGCTCAAGAAAGAAAGGAAGAAGCAGCAAGGCAGCTGAGATAGGACTCCAGAAAGGTGAACACTGCTCTCCTGATGGCTCTGCAGTTTCTGAAGATTCATTCTAGAGATGTTTCTATGGTCAGCGTCCATATGACCAGCAGGTGACCAAGCACAAAACTGAAACAGTCAGAAAATGTGGTTGTTTCTTTAATATGACGGAACATAATAATTTAGCTACATTTTGAATATATTTGCATAGGCTAAAAATCCCAAKTATTTTCTCTGTAAGTTCTCACATWCSACTAAGATTTAGAGAAGGTCTCTTRTTACCAAGGGTCCAATCAGTCTGGGATTTCTCTGCATTGTAYTTTTACTTTGCCAAAAAAACCCCAATACTAGCTATTGAGTGGGAYATTAAACCAATTAGCCACTTTTTAAACTCTCCTCAATGAAAATTATAATATAAAAATGTAATTGTTAACTCTGCATTTAGCTAGAAAACTGCAAAAATGAACAGGAATTCTAGAAAACATACAAATCCTCCTAAATTAATTTTAAAATTTCCAAGATATATCTGGTATGCTTTGATTTCCACTCAAGTTATTTCCATTTAATGCTTACCAGAAGTAATGTACATAAGCAATAAAGAGACCTCTAACTTTTATCTTCTAGTTCTGTAGAAAAATCCATTTGSAAAAATCCCTTTAGAAAAATATGGAGGAACAATAGAAAATTAAAATCACCTTTTTATTTTTTTGCAYAGGATTAACCCACTCAGAAATGCACTCAAAAAACTTAGTCACAACAGTCCCAAGTGTCATTTAGGATTGCACTTATTCTGCAATAACACATTACAATCAAAACCAATCTAAATTACATCATAATTCCTCTCAGAAAAAAAAAGTTTAATCAGCATGAGTCACGTCTTCATGGTTGGGTTGGTTGTTTTGTTTCATTTAAAAAAAAAACAAACAAATGTTCTTATTCTATATCATAGCTAGAAAACTGGGATGAAAATTTTCAAAAACCTCAATATTGCCTTTTCTAAAACAGACCCACAGAGTTGGCAGGAAGAGTCACAGAAGGTATAGGAAGTGTCAGAAGAGTTACCTCTACCGTTTAAACAAAAAATCTTTGGAATAATAATTTTATTCCACTGAAACTCACGAGCAACATGCATTTCCAGAAAAAAAAAAAAAGTATTTTCCCACTAATAAGTTTAACTACTCTGTATTTCTTGCATGTCTGTTTGTCTTCTAAACATCCTACTCTTCTTTGGTCATCTCTAGAAAGTATCGAACAGATTTGATCCTTCTTTCACCAACATTTCCACAGTGTGGAGAAAGCCCGTTTTTTTACCAATTTTGAATAGCAGAACATGAAAAGATGAATTAGGGACCTTTTTTGCCAAATCTTCAGACAATTTTGCTTATTTAAGCAAATATTTATTATTGGGTTGGGTTTTATTTTTTTTTCCAGATGAGTTTTTGAAGACCTTATAGCTCATTCAAGAATACTTTTTTTTTAACAGTCTCATCTTTCCTCACATCTGCTTCTGCTTTTATTAGTTTTATTAATTTCKCATTAATTCCATCATTCACATTCAATTCCTCAAAGCTGTTCCACTCAAAAGCCATACTTTGCACCTAGAACCTAAAAAAAAMCCACCTTAAGTTACCCAATAGAATGATTATGTTCTTAACATGACAATTTTGGAGCAGTGATCAGATTTGAAATTAATCACTGTAATATCCTGCTTCATAATACGCTTCTTATATATTCCATTCATCTTTCATGCCTGAAATAAAAGATGCTTCACTTTTTTTSTTCCTCTTTCTCTCTTGCCTACTAGTTTTTAATCAAATAAAATTAAATGACATTTTATCCTCCTGGTCCTATAAATACTGGAGAAGATTATTACATGAATTCCTCCTGCAGTGACTCACTGCTCCATTGTTAAGTTATGATAGTCCCATCAGAGTCCCCCTGGGAATTTCATAATCAGTTTGTGACTGTACATTTTAGAAACCATTTGGCTCTTTCATGACATACYGACAGCAACAAACAAAAATTTCACAGCTTTCATTTTACAACTAGCTCTAGGACAGAGACACAAAGAGTTTATCTTCACCATTTTAGTGTACAAGACTTTCTACTGGAAAGCTCTCATAATAAATAACTTTTAAGCATTTCATTTTGCTATGACTGAACTAATCTGTAATTCCTCTAACKATTATGTTCCACATGTAATAAAGTTCACTCCATGATACTTAATAGCCTTTGTGATTATTTTTCCTTTGATGCGTAACAAAATAATTGCAGAACTTACACRAAATTGAAACTCAAACATGACACACATAAATTGAAGCCACGTAACTTATTTTTAAAAACTCACTATTCCAGCATTTTCCAGTCTCTTCTTTTTTACGGCAAGAACTTTACACTCTTTTTAAAGTAATTTGATCCTTGACATGTACAACTTTATTTTCCCCGACTAATCTTCATTATTTCAAGCAATTCATCAGATGACCTTCCACAAAATATTTTTGCTTCCTCTCACAACCCTGACATTGTCTGAAAGAGGACTCCAACTTCTTGGGTATCAGCACTTCAGGAGTCCCTCCCTTTTCCATCACTGACCAGGTGAAAAACTTCTGCCTTTTTACCTTTTTGTTCAGACAAAGTGCCTCACCTTGTTCACTTAGACAATACCAAAAGATCATTAATGTTATGATAAACTAGCACACATAAGGCATTTATTACAGCTCCTTCCTACAGATAAGAACTTCTCCTAAAAACACAAAGCCTGTTATTCTCCAAAAAGGGCCCTCATACTACAAAATTATTTATTCAATCTCCTGTTTATTCACTTTCTCTATTAAAAAAAAGTTTAAAATCTATAYAGACAATGACCATCTTGCCTGCCTTCAGCAAATATAATCACGTAATCTATTTCACTTCCAATTTTTCTGATTTAAAAAAAATAAATAAATAAATATCAGCCTCAAAGCAACCTTCCCGGGAAAATGCAKTTCCTTCCTCCAGCCCTGTTTTGCACTTCCTGCAATGATTTAACACAACAATCCAGTTATTCTCCTATGATACTCTTGCATCCTGTAGTTGGCATTTGTCCCCTTTTTGTCTAAAGAAATGTTTCACTGAATGGCAGCCATTCAAGTACAGGGAGTAGAACATTTTACAGTACTCCTCCCAAATTAAATGCTCCTAAGACTCATCCAACTTAGAAGGTAATGAAGACAGCTACCAAGTCATGGAAAGACAAATTGACACTACATAAATCACAGTGCATGACCTGTACATAATGTAAAACTCATTAAATTTTGTCATTTGCAATATTATGGATCAAAATTGATCCAGATGGAGTTTTCAGAGGAAAAGGTTACTCAAAGCTTACTTAGTGAGCCAAAAAGAGGAAAAAGAATCTACCAAATCAGTCACCTCTCTTACCTGATGGGAAAGACATACTTCCTGAGGTGCAAAAAAACAAGTGATGCCATTTTCGGAATAGAAAACAATATCAATGCTAAGTTTGAAACATGAGCAGAACAGAAAATATGAATGCCAAAATTAAAATACGAGCAGAAGAAAAATTAACTTGCAAAGACTACACACTCTGCCAGTACCATATCAATACTACATAYGAATAGAATATTTTAACAGTGATAYATGCYTGGTGGAGGATTTTCCACCCAAAACTGGGGTGGAATGAAAATTATAAACTARAATCACAGAACTTTCCTGTGGGAGAAAGGAAATATATCCACAAACCCTGCTGCAACAGCCAAGAACACAGCCCCAGTACTTCACTGTTCACTGTTCCACCTTCCAGAAGGAAAAACAGGAGTCAGAAACAATGAAAATTATGAAAATAGTATATTTTCAGTTTTATCAATTATGGAATTAGAATATTTTCAAGAAATTTGCATAACGTATTTGTTTTGAAAATGGCACTCTTTTTCCTTTTTACAGGCTTGAAAAAAAACCCAGAATACTCATTTATTTAAAACATACTACAAAGAAAAACTGAAGAGCAGCTACCCAGCATCCAAGCCATGTTGCCCAACTTTTTAGCTCACTAGAAGTAAAGGAAACACCTGGAAACTGCTGCCTAAAGAAAGGAAAATAAAACAGAGATGCTTTCATGCAATTGTGGTATCAAATGTCAAAGTAATATTTTTTCTTGCAGTATCATTATACTGAACAGTCTAACAAAAATAAGTTCACAAAAATGAATGGTTACTTGATGAGAGATATTTCTACAATATTAAAGCCACCATCAGCTGGTGTATTCCAAGCCAATCAAAGCCGGGTCACAGTGCTTCTCTCTGCTCTTGCTGATCTTTCTCAGTGGGATGACAAGCCAACAATTTTCACAATAATAGAGTTTTCATACTTGAAATGAGAGCTAGTGTTYGTAAATGCAAAGAAGGTCAAACTACTAGGATGCTTGTTAAGGCTAACAATAAATATTTATTAAGGCATTGCCAGGCACTGTTGGTCCGTATCAAAGGACTTATTTTATTTGTATCTATTCTGTTTCTTTGTGTGAAAAAAAAATCCTGAGAACAGAAAAGTAATAT